GCCCTAGTGGGCCCGGGGAGGGGGTTTTGGGGCTGAGCCTAGACAGAGTGCCTGAGGGTGGTGGCTCCAACAAGCGCACAGGGCAGGGGTGCAGCAGGACAGGGGACCCACAGGGTGGGCAAGTCCTTTCTTTTGAACCAGTCTGTCGCCAACCTCTTCAGCAGTAAGGGGGCAAGTCATCCGGCGCACAGGCCAGCCAGCATCTGCGGAGGTAAGCGCGGAGCCCTCTGCCCAGGCCAGTTTTCCCGCTGCCCAGCTCCGGAGTGAGTTGCTTTGTTGTCCTATGACTGTCTCACCCGATCACTCAGCTGTTCCCCAGCCTCCCCGCCCACTGAGTGGCCTCACTGAGGCCGCTGGGCTTCCAGCATGGCTCGGGGGATCTTGGACTTCTGCATTGTCCTTCCTTCTGGAAAGTTGGTTTGCAGCCAAGGAGCATAACTAGGCCCGGGTGCACGGGGGGTCCCAGCCCCTAGGCACAGCGCTGGGCCAGGGCGCCCACTGCTGGTCTTTGATGTCACAATGGCAGCCTCTTTCCAGGCTGTGGCCGCTTGGTGGGCTGTAGGCTGGCTCTCCCAAACCCCACAAATTTCCCCTCTGGGGTGCTTGGGAGTAAGATGGGTCTTCCTGGCCAGCGGGCAGGTGTCCACCCTCACCCTCAGCTCAGGCTTAGGGGATCCTGGCTTTGTTCCCAGCTGAGCTGGGTCCCCTGGCCTGCTCACAGGCACCTGCCATCATGCCTCTTCCTTGCCAAGTCTTGGTATATGGATGGTTCTAGGTTCCTATGGGTGGGCTTTCTAGTCCTGGATCCAGCGGATGGGACCTCGGTCAATCCAGAGGTAGAGAACCAGAAGAACCTTCCCCAGTGGCCCTGGGAGCAGGGCCAGAAGGGGTACCAGGCCGCCTCTGTCCAGGCCTCTCTCCCCACAGGAGAGGGTGCAGGGTGGGTGGTCCAGCTAGAGGAGTAGGGTGGAACTGCTGAACCCCTCCCCAGGCTAAGCACCTACAAAGCCCCTTGTCCAAGGTCTGGTGAAACTGCAAGGTTCCTTCCATTCTGGGGCTGGCCTCACATGCGCCCTGAGGGGCTTCTGGCAGCAGAGTGGCTGGGGGAGAGGAGGTGTGGGCAGCAGGGGTCTCGGGGGAAACAAGGGGGGGGATGCTGAAGAGGCATTCCCAGGCCCCACTCTGCCCCATCTGGACCACGCTGCTGGTGTGGCAATGCCCCTGGCCTTCTGGGCCTAGGGCCAGTGCGCTTTGAGGGTGCATGTGGCCATCCGTGGAACCCTAGCTGTACCACTCAATCCTGTAACTGGGCTGCCGGTCTGGCTTACTAGAAAGTCTGCTTCTTCCGCTTGGGGCCTGGCCCATGTGTAGGAGGCAGTCAGACAAGGGGACTCACTAGCCCAGCACCTGCCGAGCGCCCACTCTGTGCTGACACTGGGACACTCTAGGGGCTGAGCCTGCAGTGGCAAGCACCTGGGAGCTGCCCCTCAGGCCCAAGCCGCCCAAGAAGGCCCTGGTAGCCTGCCAGGCCTTTGCCCCATCACATCCTCTAGCGTGGGAAGGGAGGGGAGGCGGCCTGGCTGGAGGCCTCCAGATGCAGGACACCAGCAGCAGCCGCCAAAGGGGCCCCTGTCCTTCCCTCAAAGGCAGCTGCAAGAACCGTTTATAGGCCACCCGGCCAACACGGTCCAAAGGCCACAGGCCACAGCAGAGGCCTCACCTGGAGCCTTCCATGCGTTTGCCTGGCTGTGCTGTCTCAGGCAGGTCCCAACTTCCCCCTGTAGCCTCCTATCATGGGAGTCCATCCAGGACACAGTGAGACCCCAGATGGTTACTTCAAAAAAAGTCTTTTAATTGTTCAAAATAGCACAAAACGACATCGCACTATGGTAATATTGAGTCACAGGGGTTACTCTACAATAGATGAACGGGTGTACTGTTCTCAGAAACAAGAGAAATCAAAGGGCGCTCAGGAGAGGGACTGAGTAAAACAACGGGACCAGGTGAGTGGGCTCCAAGGTGACTAAACATGACGTTTTCCACAGCGAAATATACTATAATACAACAAACCAGAGGCCCTAGAGGGCGCAGGCCAGAGGCAGGGGGCGGCTCGGCCCCACCCCGGCTCCAGGCAGAGACGGAGGCTGAAAAGATGGGCTGTTCACTTCACATCCTTCTCTGGCTGGACTTGCTTGCAAGCTCCGCTCCTGTCATACAGCTCAGGTGTGGGCAGAAAACGCCTAAGATCCCCAAGTCCCAGGGACAACACTGCGATTGCCCCAGCCTCCCATGCAGGTGACACCACAATCGCCCTCCCTGGGCTGCCTCCCAGGAGGCCTCGTTCTCCCCCATCTCTGCCCCTTTCAGTTACAACTTGGATGGGGTGGTGGCTACAGAAACAGCAGTCCAGAGTGTCAGAGTCTCCATGCCGGTGATGGCAAGGGGGGTGGGCTTCTCAGCCCCGCTCCGGCCTGGGGTCAGGAGAGAACTGTGAACCCAGGACAAGGGGACTCCGGCCCACCCTTGAGGGATCACCCATGAGGAGTGAGGCTGGACAGCTCCCCGTTCCTTTGCCCTAGAGGCCTGGGGACAGACAAAAGGGCAGAGGTCAGCAACAGAAAACTAGGTCGGGCAGCAAACACCAGGCCCCACATGGTAGATTTTATACCTCTCCTGCCCCAGCGTTTCCTCTAGAAAGATCCCTGCCAAGGATTAGCCAAGGAGAAAAAAGTTAAAAAAAAACAAAAAAAGAAAAAGAAAAACAAAAACAAAACACATTCTGTACATACACAGCTAACAACACAACGAAAGAGGGACAGAACCCCACACACTAAGGCTAAAATTACAAGGAAAATGGGAACTTCATCAACTTCAACTTAAAACACAACCAATGCAGCAGTTAATGATGGCCCCCATGAGCCGGCTGGGCCGAAGCTGGGCTTGGCGGGGGCTACTCCACGCCCCGCAGGGAGGTTTGCACAGGGCGCTGCTCAGGCCGCCCTGGGGCCCCTCCTCTCCCCTCCTTTTTTTTCTCCTTCTTTCTTTTTTCTTCCGCAGGAAAGAAGAGGGGAGGGGAGACGGGATGGGAGCACGAAGGCCTCTGAGGAACCGTGCAAGCTTCCTGTGGGATTGCCGGGCGGGCTGGACAAGCTGGGGAAGGGACATTAGGTGGCAGAAAACAAGAGGGCCACAACGTAACATAACCAGACAAACACCCAGGACAGGCGCCCGGGAAAACCTCTCCGAGAGGGGACCAAGGGCTGCCCTTGCCCCGGGCCAGGAGCAACAAGCCACACGACGCAGGCTGTGGCTGTTTTCCACCATCTTTGCCGTCAGTCTCAATTCTCTCCCTTGAGAACGCGGGATCCTTCAGTCTGGCTGTGCCAGGGGCAGGCGCGGGGCGGGGAGAACAGGGACATTCCCCTCTCGCGCTGCCTCTCCAACCTGCCTCTGCTTCCTCCGACAGCAAGAGTCAAATGTGCTTTCTTTCGATTATTTTTAACACAGAGAACGGGGGAGAGGGCATGAGCAGCAGCCAGTGGCTGAGGGTCAAGTGCGAATGCTGGATGCCAGGGTAGGTGGGAAGGGCGGGCCCTGGCGGGTGGTTCCTGAAGCAGGGGGTCTGGAGAAGAATCCGAGTGCTGGCCAGCTCCTCTCACTGGCCGTCTGCCTTCGATTTCTTTGGAGCGGATTTCCTTGGGAGGCGGGAAAGGGAGAGTCGGTGCGGGCGCTCCAGACACTGCAGGCACCAGCGGCGCACAACGCGGCACGGGGCCAGCGAAGCCCTCCGATGCTCTGCTGAGAGGCTGAGCCCTGCTCCTCCCACCCCCAGCCTTGGGTTTGCGAGGGGCTTCCTGCTTACATTTCCGGAGAGGACATGGGCCGCTTGCTGGCCGGCTTGGTGCCAGAACTGTCTTTACTGGTTTCTGAAAGGAACGAGGGAGATGGGTGAGCACAGGGAAACCCAAGTAGGGAGCGGCAGGGAACACACGCTTGCCTGCCCGCCCCGTAGTCTCAGGCCCCACAGCGGCCTATGGCTCGCGCCCATGGTCACTCCTGGGGCGCAGGACAGCACGCCATGCCCCGATCTTCCCTGGTGCAGCTCTCAAACCCTCTCGGCTCAGCCCCCGCTCCTCACCGTCTTTCCTGGTCCTCATCCTCAGCCCTGCCAGCCACGGGGAACAGGAGCACCGCCTGGCCAGAGGAGGGCACGCCGCGACCTCGGCATGTGCCTCCCATTCAGGACCCGGTACACGCAGTTCTCGCCTGGAACTGTTTTCGCACCCCCACCCCCAGCACCTCAAGAAAGTCTTCCCTGCACCCGCAGGCTGGGCAAAGTGAAACGCCAGAGCCCAGATGGGAGCTGGGTCTCCTGCCATGCTCCACGGCCACCCCCGTGAAAGCCGTGTGGGTGGACCAAGGAGGCAGGGGAGACAGAAAAGACGGCAGGCGACGCCCATTCCTCCTGCTGTGCGTGGCTCCAGTGCCTTCCACAGAAGCTGCCCGAGCCCTGTGACCATGACACTCACCTTGTAACCACCTCACTTGGGTGGCTGGGCCATAGCCCTTCTCATTGCGGGCAGCGATGCGGAAAATGATGGCGGGCTTGGTGGTGTAGTCGATGTGGGCGTTGGACAGGCTGGAGGACTGCACGAGGCAGGAGGGGCTGGGCCCGCAGTACACCCGCATGAAGGCCAGCTGGGCTGGGGTCGAACTCTTGGGCTCGCCGCCGGCCTGGGAGCTCTGGATGGCCAGGTACACGGAGTACTCGATGATCTTCCCAGAGGTCACGGAGGGCGGCTCCCAGGTGAGGTGGGCACCATCCGGACTCTAGAAGCAAACGGGCAGTCAAGCTTTGTCTCCTTCAGCCACTGTGGCCGTAAGCCCGTCCCGCCTGTCCCGGTAACAGAGAGGGCCAGAAGCTTCCAGATCTGATCGCTCATGCTTCACACCGCCATTTTTTCCTGACACACTAGCACTTCACACTGGAGTTCAGAGATCTTCTCCCAAGTGGAAAAAATACAGCGAACTGGACCTCAAAGCACACCCTTTGCCACCCATGGTATGACTTGTCACTTGGCCTCTCAGTGCCTCCGTTTCTGCATCTGCAAAACAGAACTAACCACAGCAGCCAAATGTCTTTGGGAGGTTTTCAGGATTAGCTAGAACATCAAATTGGACAGTATAAGGCCTGGTACATGGCGGATGCTTGCTCACCATCAGCTGCCAGGTTACAGACGAAACTGGGGCTGGGGAACGGGAAGAAACTTGCCGTTGCGCCCCGGCGCAGGTGGCAGAGCCAGGACCAAAAGCAGAGTTCCCGAAACTGCCCACCAGACAGCACCCTGTTCCCTGAAGCCAGGTCCAGCTGCCTTCCCACAGCCCGGGGGTCCTTGCGAGTCGCCCCGTCTGGCCCTGCTCCTGCCAGCCCCTCGGCACAGACACGGAGCCATGTGCACATAGCTGAGGCTTGCTCTGATACCAGGGACAGAGGGCCACCCGCAGAGAGACTCACTTTGCTGATCTTGATGGCACAAGGTGCCCCTGGGAAGCCAGGCAGGCACGTCTTGAAGGCCGAGATCTCACTGAAGGGCCCCCGGCCACAGGCGTTGATCCCGGCGACGCGAAACTTGTAGGCCGTGCCAGGCTGCAGTTCTTGCTTCTTCAGCTGGTTATAGTCGGGGACGGTGCCCGAGTCATCCTGGGGAAAGAGGACGGGAGGACAACAGGAGAGCAGAGAGAGAAGAAAGCGGCGTGAACCTGGCAGTCTTCCACGGTGGCAATGTGGCAGGCCCGCAGGGACCACAGGGTGCAGGGCAGAGGTCAGCGGCAGCTGCTTCCCAGCCCGGAGGGCCAGGCCCTGTCCGAAAGGCCCCGACGCTCTCACTCCTTTTCCACTACACTTCAGGGGGAGGGCCTCTGCCTGGCTGTCCTCAGGTCAGCGGGTCACTCATCTTGGCCCAGAGATTGAGGGCTTTCTGAGATCCACCCACCCTAGGCCATCAGCTCCTGGGACACTTACGTCTGATGGGACAGCGTCATCTGGCGGCAGGAAATAGTGTGTCACCATTACATTGGTGCCCTTAATGACTCCCACATCGAACCACTGGTTCTCCTTCTTCACAGGAGCTTTGCTGGGCGGGGGTGGCAGCTCGGGTTTCTGGGAGGCGAACGGGGCAATCAGGTCCTTGGCCCTCAGGTCTTGGAGGTGGTGCCTCCCCCAGGACACCCGCCACGCCTGACTCACCACACCCAGGGACTCGATGCCATTGGCTACCTCTGTCAGGGTGGCCGCTGCTTGCAGCTTCGCCGGGCTGGCCACCACAACTGGCTGGGGGGCCACGAAGGTGTTGGATGGAGCCAGGCCTGGAAGAAAAAATTGTCGATGGAAAAAGCCCCGGAGGCAGGGCTCCCGCACAAGGCCTGGGCCTCCCGGCACCCCGTCCTGCCCTCGTCTGCCTGGATCTGCCCGGATCTGCCCGCCACCCCCCGGCCACTCTAGCACTCATCCGCCCCAGCTGAGACGCTCCTCAGGGACAGGGCTCAAGGCCAAGAAAGGGCCCTGCTTACTCTCAGTGGCCGTCGAGGGCAGCAAGGCCACGGTGCTGGGGACGGCGCTGGCCAGCTCGTTGAGGCAGTTGCTGTCTATGGTCGGGTCATTGAGGCTGTCGGCGGGGGCCAGGGCCTCGGTGGGCAGGTGGTGGTGCTGGGCCTGAGCCTGTGCCTCCTGCAGCTGCTGCTGCTGCTGCACCAGGGCGGCCAGCTCCTGCTGTGTGAGCACGATGGGGATGGTGGTGGCCTGGCCCTCCTGGGCCTCGGCCGACAGGTGCCCGAGCTCCGCCTGCGTCACGGCCGCCGCCGCCTCCGATGTGTCCATGGGCTCCCCAGTGCCTGCTCCAGGTGGGGAGATGCACTACTCAGAAGGCAGGCCGGCAAGCCGACCCCGGCAGACAGACGGGGTCCCGACGGAGGCCTGCCGAGCCTGCCCTGGAGACCCGGCTTCCCTGACACCTTCTACCCTGCCCAGGCCCACTCCATCCTGGCTGCTAAGCCCAGCCCACTCACCCGCAGCGGTCCTCCCCACCACCCAGCCTGACTGGGCCCACTGTGCGCGCCTTCCCCTGTCCCATCTGCCTGTGCCACCCTCGCAGAAATGGGCCTCCTCTTCTCTGGCTGTCTCTGCTGCCTGCCACTTCAGCACTCCGCCTAGGCTGTCACTCCTCCCAAGGCCTGTCTTCCCCTCGGGGATCCCGGCTGGCACCTACCCATGACGGCCTGCTGGGCGGCCTGGAGCACTGCCTGGATGGCCAGGGCCTGGGCCTCCTCTGTGGCTGCGGCCTGGGCAGCTGCCTCCGCGGCAGCAGTCACTGCCAGTTCCTCAGGAGTGAGCCCTGTTACCATGAGGGTGGTGGTGCCTGCCTGGGCCTCAGCCATCAGCTCTTGGGGAAGTGACAACTGGTCTACTTCAGACTGTGTGGGCGGGGGTGGCTGGACCACCACAGTGGCCACTACCGCTGAGCTGGTGGGCTCCTGGCCTGAAGACGGGTCCCCTGTGCTGCTGAGATCCACGGCGGCCTGGAGCTCAGTGTTCTGGGGGGCTGACAGGACCTCGGCGGACTCCCCCATCAGGGGTGTGGACGCAGGCTGCAGGAGTTGCCGTGGTGGCAGCTGCTGGCGAGGCCCCGGTGAGGCCTGGAGCTCCTCTGGGGGCTGCAGGATGTCAACAGCAGAGAAGGGCATGTCAGAAGTTTCTGTGTTGCCTATGGTCACTGTTATCGTGGCCGGGATGGGGACTTCAGTAGTCAGAGCCCCTGGGGTAGTCTCAGTCATTGATGAGATCTTCTAGAAAGGGAGAGAAGCCCCCGTCAGAGGGGAGGAGAGAGGCCAGAACCGGGCAGCGGGGCTGAGAAACAAGACAGCCTTCATCTTTTCCTGCGGACCCAAGTTTCCACTCTTCAAGGGCCAGCTCAACCCCATGTTCAATGGGAAGTGGGGGGCAGGAGTTCTCTGGGCAGCATGAGGTATAGCAAGAGGGGGAGAGGCCTGTGAGACCCATGGTTGGGACAAAGGGGGCACTCCGACCCCTGCCACCTCCCTTTTCTGAGCCGTGGTGAAGTGGCACACGATGGAAAGCCACAGGAATAAAAGCACCCAGAGACTCAGGGGGATCAGATGCCTGCCCTGGCCCTCAGGCATGAGGCTGTCCTTTTATGGTCTGGAAAAGGGACCAGGAGCGGCACTGTGCCCGGTACAAGAGTGCCACCTGGTGTCCAATGCTGGAACAGCATGGGCCACGGGCACAGAGAAGGGAAGAGGGCCCCTCTGGGCTCTTACCGGAACGGAGGGGCCCGGGACCGGCGTGGACTGTGTCACAGTGGTCACAGCCCGCGTCAGTGTAGAGGACACGGTTGTTGTGATGGCACTGGAGCTGGTGATGTTCACATTATCGCCCTGGGTGCTCTCCACCTCTCCCTGATCGCCGGCAGCAGGTGGGGGGTCTGTGGAGTGACAGTTAAGAGGCTGGTGAGCAGGAGCACCAAGGCCTCCTCCTGGCTTTGCCACCACCAGCTCCCACTATCCTCAAGCGGAGGATCAGAGCAGCGGCCAGAGTCTCCCAGAGACCCCACGCGTGTGTGACACAGCCAGGACACCCCAGCCCACCCCACTGGTAGACTGGGTGCCAAAGACTCTATTAGATTCTGGACAGATCTCTTTGCCACCTTCCTTCTCCTTCTTTTGAGATGGCATCTCGCTCTGTCGCCCAGGCTGGAGCGCAGAGGCACGACCACAGCTCACTGGAGCCTCTAACTCCTAGGCTCGAGCAATCCTCCCAACTCAGCCTCCCGCGTAGCTGGCACTACAGACAATGTGGCAGCCATGCCTGGCTTTCTGCCATCGTTTCTTCCATCCTCTCAGCCCTGGGGCCTAGGAGACCACGAATGCCAGGCTGGCCGTCTTCACTCACCTTGGTTTGAGCTCATGTTGGAGGTGACAGTGGTGGCCGTGTGTGTGGTGCCTGTCTCATGGGTCTCACAGGGGGGGTTGGAGCACACCCTCTGTGTTGGGAAAGAGGCCAGCAGCGTGTTGCTGGCCTGAGCAGCGACGCTGGATGGCGCTGCAACATCTAAGCCGGGCTCCAGGGTCCTGTGCGAGGGCGTGGCGTCGGGGATCAGGGACCCCATGCTGACCGACATGGTGGTGCCGGTGGAAGTGGTCTGGTGTGTCTCACAGGGGCGGCCAGCAGGGGCCTGCTGCCCGCCCTCGGGCTGGCCTGCACCCCCATTTGAAGTGGCGGTAGTGGGCGTGTGGGTGGTGCCTGTCTCGTGGGTCTCACAGGGCGGGTTGGAGCACACCCGCTGGGCGCTGCTCGCATTCGAGGTAGTGGCGGTGTTGGTGGTGCCCGTCTCGTGGGTCTCACACGGCGGGTTGGAGCAGACTTGGGTGATGGCGGCTGAAGGGCACAGCAGGGCCTCCAGGGCTGTCACAGTCACTGTGCTGCCGGGCGGGCTGCTCTGGAGGCTCTCGTACGCAGGCGCAGAGGCCCCGTGTGCCGCGCCGGGCTCCCCAGCGCCCATGGTGGTGCTGCTGGTTGTGTAGGTGTGATGTGTCTCCAGCTGGCACCCCGTGGGCCCGTCCTTGTTGCCGGGGCCGCTCAGCCCGACTTTGCTGCTTAGAGGAGCCAACTGCACAAAAGCAGCGCTGTGGCCCACAGCCTCCCGTGTCACGCTTGGCCCGAGGAGCGGGTTGGCCGAGCATGGGGTACCGGTGGCCATCACAGTCATGGTAGTGCTGGTTGCGCTGGTCTGGCGGGTTTGGCACTGGGGCTTCGAACCCTGGGCTGCCTCCGTGGCCCCAGCTGCCACACTGATCCGGACCACGGCAGGGGTGCTGGTGGCACAGGCCCGGCGGGCATCTCGCTGCTGGTTGGCGCTGACACTCGACATGGCTGTAGTGGCAGTGTTGGTGGTGCCTGTCTCATGGGTCTCGCAGGGCGGGTTCGAGCAGCCATGCTGCCCAGCCATGTTGGAGGTGGCGGTGGTGGCGGTGTTGGTGGTGCCTGTCTCGTGGGTCTCGCAGGGCGGGTTCGAGCAGACTCGGACCACGCTGCCATTCTGCTGCCCCGCCGATGTCACAAGAGAAGCGGCTGCCTCCTGTCTGTCGCAGACAAACTGCACTTGGGTGGGCTGGGGATGTCCCCCAAGATTGGCCACGACAGTGGTGGTGGCTGTGTTGGTGGTGCCTGTCTCGTGGGTCTCGCAGGGTGGGTTGGAGCACACCAGCGTGACAGTGCCAGGCTGCACGTCACCCTGGCCTGAGTCGGCGATGGTGACTGTGGCTGTGGGCTGCTCTGTAGTAGGAGAAGCCAGAATGGACACAGGGAGGTCGTGCACAGGCTGGGCCTCCACGCCGCTGGGTGCTGTGATCAGCGTCACCTGGGTAGGCTGGGAGACAGGCTAGGGAGACACAACATCAGAAGAGTTAGTGCCACGATTCTGTCTGTCCCTCCCACTGTCCTGCCTTGTCACCCTCTCAAGGTGAGACCACCGACTCTGCCCTTAAAGAGCCCTGGCCGACGTAAGACCCACTTGCCCTCTGCGCCCAAGACACTGATTTGCTCAGACAGCAGTGAAGAGACAATGCTTTGCCTGAAAGGTAACTGGGATGGGGGAGGAGGCCATGGGGACAGGCCAAGGCGAGGGCAGGAGCAGGGCTGGAGCCAAGCCCTTGGTCGGGGAATGAACTCCTGCAAGAGGCTTAGAGGCTGTGCCAGCGGCTTCACGACTTCCAGGAATGCAGCTCAAGAAAACGTGTAAAGAGAAGGACATGACACGTTCAGGAAGCAGAACTGCTGCATCCTCTGCTAAGAGCAAGGGTCTTGTGTTCAAACACCAGACACGGCCACACTGTGGCATCTCGCCACGATGCGCTGGGAGACAGGGGACGACACGATGACAGTGACAACATCCCAGGCGAGAAAAACCCACTGCAGCTGCACCCAGCAGCAGAATGCCACCCAGAAGGGGTAGCTGGGGGGGTGGCGCGGCTGTGCCCTCAGCCCTACCTGCATGGTGATGGTAGGGGTCGTGAGCCCACCGGCCGCTGTCAGCGTGGTCTGTGCAGCTGACACCGTGATGGCAGTGGGGTTGATCACTTGGCTTGAGAGGGTGGCGATGGTGCCCAAGGTGGTGATGGGCGTGGCCAGGGATGCACTGGTGCTGTGGCCCCCAGCTCCGGCGAGGCTGGTGGAGACCGTGCCCGTCACTGTGCCGAGGGTCGTGACACCTGAAGGAAAGGAGGCAGAGTTAGGACAAGGCCGTCACCACTTCCTTCCCAGCAGCTCCTCCTCCAGGGCGGAAGGCTTCGGGGAGAGCACCCGCCATCCTCCCTGAGCCGGGAACAGGACCACAGGGCTGGAAGTCAGTCCTGCCGAGGCGCTGGCCTGCGGGTACACACCTGTGGTGCCCTTCACAACCAACGTGGTGACAGCTGGCTTGACAGCGGAGACAGTGACGGGGGTGACCAGGCGAACGCCCCCCATGGGCACGGTGCGGAGGATGGTGCCTGGCTGTCCAGGGGCCCCCTTTAGTACCACCTGGAACACCAGAGGAAAGTGCCGCCATCGTCACTGCCACGTTGGGGGACAGTGCTGCCCCTCCCCGGCCCGTCAAGGGGACTGTGGGACCTGCTGGGGTGGACTGGGCTGAGAGCGCGCCAGGGCGCCTCACCTGGGTCACTCCTTGCTGTCCATGGCCAGTGGCAATCTTGGGGACAGCAGTGATGATCTTGGCAGGCGCTCCCGTTCCTGAAGTCATAACCTTGGTGGTGATGATGGTGATTGGAGACTTGATGCCGGGACTGCTGGTCACACCTGGATGGGAAGGCAGCTGTGAGGGCTTCTCGCGTCTCCTGTGTCCCCCAAGCCCCTGGATTACAGCGAAGTCCTGCAGACCCAGCTACAGCCCTGCCACCTTCCTACAAATCTCACAAACTGCAGGGAAGGCGGGAGGGGGTGAAAAGAGGGCGACAGAACAAAAACAGGGAGTGCGCTGGAACCTGGCCGCCAGGCCCCCTGTGCTTCCGTCTCCTGGCCGTGACTCGCCAGCCAGGCCCTTCAGACACCCGTGCGTCGGGGAGGCCCCTGCCTGTGGCGGGGAGGCCCCTACCTGTGGCACCCGCCTGGGTGATGATGGCTGACATGGGGATGGTCTTGATGATGGTCGTCGTGCCGGGCTTGGTGGTACTGGGGGACACACTGCTGATGCCCAGGATAGTGGGCTTGGTTCCCGCCCCACTGGCCTGCGTGGTGGTGATGATGGTGGTGGGCTTGCCATCTGCCGAGGTCACTAGCTTCAGGATTGTTCCCGCGGGCAGGGGCCCTTTGGTCTGAAAGGGATAAGTGGGCGGAGAGCGGGCTCAGCCACCACAGAGGGCAGTGTGGCCTGGCGCCCTCCACCAGCACCCAGCCTTTCTGAGACACATGTGCTCTGGGACCTCCCGTGGGGAGGGACATAAGCTCTCCCTGCGGCCCAGCACCAGTGTTGCGTATGTGGCGGCCTGGAGACTGCTTCTGGAGGGACCGAGCGCTCACCTGGATGATCTGAGTCACAGGGCCCGTAGACGCCTGGCCTGTGACTGCTGAAGTCTGAACTGGTTTGGTCTGGACCACTGACATCACTTTGCCCAGATTGGAAATCTAAAAAGGAAAGGATGGAGCCGGGAGTGATCCAGAAACCAAACAAGGGCACTGCCCGGGCTGGGACTCCCCTGGAGCAGGCCCAGGGCAGCAAGTCAACACTGGCAGTCGTCACAGCCTGGCAGCTGTCACATGCAGCGGGTGGCACCTGTCACTCACCAGAGCACTGCCTCCTGGGACAGAGATGGGGCTCTTCACCAGGGTGATGGTCTTGGTGACCCCACCCACCACTGTGGTCACCACCTGGGCTTGTTGGGCCACTGTCACGGTCCCAGATTTGTGCACCGTGATAATAGGGCGGGTAGACGTATTGGTGGCAGAGGAGACAGATGTCCCCACCTGGGCGGCTGCAGTCTTCAGCATGCGAGTGGCCGGGTTGCTCACCTGGAGGGGGAGAAACAAGTGACGGGCGAGGTACAGAGAAAGGCCTGGCTGCCAGCCGAGGTGTCCATGGTGGGCCCACGGCTCCAGCCACGACATCCACCTTCCTTCCCCTCTTAGACTGAGGAACACCACGCCCTTAATGGACACAGCAAGCACTGAAACCCGGGGTGGGGGTGGGGGTGAAGGTGCAGCCAGAAGCCCCGGACCCCGAGGCTGCTGGCTCCCAAACGCCCAGAAGATGCTCACCATGACCGGAGAGGAGGCCACTTTCACAGTGGCTGGAAGGGTGGTAGTGCCAGGTGTCACAGCCACGGTCTTCACGATGGTGGTGCCCGCTGGGACACTCAGTACCGTGGGTGCTGAGGAAGGAGGAATCTTCTGGGTGGCAGCGGCTGCGGCTGCCAGTGCAGCCATCCCGCTCATCTGTGGACTGCTGCCGATCACCTGTGGCGGGGACAGGGCACAGGAGTCCACAGCAAGCACCGCCTTCCTCCCTGCTCTGTGGACCTTGCCAGACCCCACCAGGGGCTCAGCCCTGCTCCAGGGAGCCTCTGTCCTGCCGGCATCTCTCGGCTTTTCCTACTGCTATACCCTGTGCTTGGCCCCGAACACGGAGGTCTCCTACCACCCACCAGGCACTCAACCCCAGCAGCAGGAGTTGGCCGCGAGCTCTGGGGCTTTCTGAGACCAGAGTCAGGTACAGTACATTTCTCATGGGCCTGGGTCAAATCCAGCCAGTCGGATGCTCGCCTCAGGCTTTAAGACAAGAAGGCCCGTGCTTAAAACACCCGCAGGATCAGACGGTGGGTTCGGCCCTTTTGCGGAACTGACTTATTAACTCTTGCTCTGACCCTGCCAGAGAGGCCTCCTCATCAGCACCGCATGGAGGGAGAAGGTGCAGGAAGCATGGTACCAAAGCCAGGCGAGATCCGAACCCTGTGTCGGTACAGGAAGGTCTGCCCAGCCCAGCCCAGCCCAGCCCAGCCCAGCGACCGCTCCTCACCGTGCCCTGGGCACTCTGTGTCGGCACAACCATTCGCACACCAGCAGGCAGGGAGGTCACAGTGACAGGGGCTTTCCCAGCCTGGCTGGCAGGTCGCATGGTGACCAACGGAGTTCCTGTTGTAGCCTGAGGACCGGTCACTTTGAGAACAGCAGGGACACCTGATGAGTAAAGGGGTCAGCCGTCAGCCAGTCCCTGCCCACACACCATCCCCAGCCCCTCTGCCGAGTTTAGCACATGGACATGAACTGCTCCTTCTGACCTGCTGTGCTTTAAGCTGGCCTCCTCTCTGCGCCCTCGCGTGATCGCTCCCGTGGGCAGTCTGAGCTCCCCCCGCCACCCCATGTCCTCAGCATTGGGCCTGCGGTCTGTTCAGCAGCCCCAACCAGGCCCAGAACATCCGAGGCAGACCCCCTGGCTCACCTTGAGTCCTGGCCGCAGTGGGCACGGAAATGGAGCTGCCGGGCACCGTTGGCAAGACCTGGATGGTGGTGGTGGTTGGGGGTGCAGCGGCAGCCTGGGGCAGGAGCGTGATGCCTACTTGTGTCAGTGGCTGCACAGCAGGTGCGGCTGCTGCTGGGGCAGGGCTCTTGGGAGGGTTGGCAGGCACCGACGGGACTGGATTGGGTGTGGGGGAGGTGGCAGTAGCAGCCGTGGCAGGAATGTCGTATTTCTGGAGCTGCAGAAGGTAACTGTCGGCTGTTGTCACTGCCCCCCAGCTCACCTCCAGGGAGTTGGTGTTGGCTCGTACCAGCTGCACCCGGGCCGGGGATGGTGGCTTTTCTGTTAGAGAATGCAGCTGATGAGAAGGGGGGGAGGCTCCGGGGCGGGGACGGTGGAACGGTCCCTTACCTGTCTCCAGGTACCAGAGGTCCTTGCAGCAGACCTGGTTGTTCCAGGCCTTGCGGTAGCCATCACGCCCACTCCAGATGTACAGGCGGGTATTGATGGCAACTGCACAGTGGCCAGCTCGAGCTCGGGGAATGTTGTCCTCCAGTGTATCCATTAGGATGGTTTCCCAGGCCATGGTATCTAGGGGAGGGCAGATGATAGCAGTCAGCAGGGAAGGTCAAGGAAACCCACTGCCCCCAGGTATCCCTGTCCTTCTGTCGTCAGGGACAGAGAATTTAAGCCCGTAAGTTGTCAGGTTGTGAAGTTCAAAACAAAAAAACAAATGCCAACTTGGTATGGCAAAATGCACCATAAGAAATAAAAGTATAAGCCAGAAATGACAAACTAGAAAAACAACGCAAAACGCAAAGCCAGACGTTTGACTCCTTGGTATGTCAAATGATACAAGCCACAGAAAGAGGTGGGCCAAGGGAACACAGTCTACGGAAAACGTAGGAGGATCTTAGGAAACACACACATCGTCGCTCAGGAGAAAACAAATGTACACCGAAACTACAGGGCGCCTAGCAGCTTGGTTTCTGCACCCACCGCAGTGGGGCTCGAGGTGAGTGGGCGCAGGGGCCTGGCCCCCGGGACAAGCTTGGGAAGGGCAGCCTGCCTGCGTGGCGACGGCCGGTTTCGGAAACGCAGGTACCGCCTCTGCGGGGCGCGCGGCAGCATCTGACAGCAACTCTATTTCCACGTTTTTGCCCTCAGAATACACTCCCGCCCGGGTGGAAATGGTCCAAAGACTCACAGAACAGCATCTGTACAAGTTACAGCGCCACGACAGCAAGTCAACAGCACCAGGCCGCTGCTGGGCAAGGACACAAACGACCTCTGAGATACAGCAAAGGAAAGGGCCAGGTGTGGTGCTGTGCGTGCCAGGCAGCCACTGCTGCTGTGTGTAAAGGGACCTACGACCATGCTTGTTTATGACAATGAGCCCGCAGAGTGGACCAGAACCACCCACGCGGCTGCCTCTGAGGACAGGGACGGGGGCAGCGCTGCGCTGCACGTGCTTGTGTACTTCTGGACGTTGGACCACATGTATGAAGAGCCTATTCAAAGTGTTCACAGGAGCAGCACTCCAGAGCACTCTGCCCACTGAATACCTCTGGTGGATTCTAGAAAGAGCTGTGGGCCCAGCTTCACTCTCTGCACACCCCACAAACTCTCAGGGCTGAGGAGGGTCAGCCTCCTGCAGCCTCCCGCAGGCCACTCGGAGCCCGAGGAGGCCATACCCAGGTTGAGACAAGCCAGCGTGTTGGTACACTTCCACTCCTTCTCGTGTGTGGCCACTTTGACGTCATCCATGACGAGAGGCACCCAGCCACCAAACACGTACATTCTGGGAGGGGGGAGGGAAGAGTGGGAGAGGATTGTAGACGAGGTACCAAGCTAGAGGCCACCTCTGCTACCCCCGTTCTCGGGCTCAGTCCTCCGGCTCGCCCCAGAACGCACGAAGCCTTCTGACGTGGCCTTCTCCTGCTGGTGGCTCAGCCCTCACAAGAACTGTGTCACCTCTACCATCTGCAACCACCACTCAGCTCGTCTAAAGCTCACCTTCACGGCCATCATGCCCAGATTCCCTTTAGGACCTGGCATTCACAGACACCTAGTTGCTGGCGTAAAGGATCTAGAACGGTATGAAGCCCTCTGACGGGGCAGAGCCTCATGGGCCAGGAAGGGTCTCAGGCTGGGCTTGTGTGTGGCTCCCTCCACGCTTGCTTCTGTCTCTCGGTCCCCCAGGGTCACAACAGAAAAACAGGGCTGTGACCGCAAGCCCCACTGGAAAGCAGCACCCTTGGGGCCCAGGGCTGTCAGAACGAAATCGAATGAGGACCCTTTCGGGACGGCTCAGGCTCGGGGAATGGCAGTGCCAGGCTTGAGAAAAGTGCGCACAACGGCCACTCACTTATTTCCTATGGTCGTGGCCGAGTGAAGACTGCGGGGAAGAGGCGCCACACCGCTGAGACTGGGCTTGTTCCACGTCAGAGTCTCTGTGAAGAGACAGGTAGACAAAGAAGGGTTACCTGCGCTGGTCAGACCCAGGACCCTTCCCGGACCCGGGCAAGGCTCGGGAAAGTGGGTTCTGAACCGATGTGGGATTCGGCCGGCCTCCCCCAGCCCGCGGCAGGCCCTCTGAGCATTGCCCTGGTAGCCAGATTTCGGTGTTTCTCGGGTGGTTCTCACCCTCCTAGCAATATGCCTCTTCAGATGGGCCCTAAGTGCCTGCTCTGTGCCAGAGCTGCTGCCCATGCTGGAGCAAGAAGGCGAGCTGGCCCGAGCTCCCTGTGAAACTCCTCCATCCCACGCCACTCCAGGCTCCAGACCTTTCAGGAGTGGCACTGGGAATTTGTTTCACACGCAACTGCTTCTTTGGAGTTGCCGGCTCTGATCTGTGGGACAACACAGCCGCTGCTCTCCCCAGCCGGGCAGCCCTCCCGAGATCTGCACTTGGCAATCTCTTCCAAATGCTCCAGGTGCCGCCGCCCAGTTCCCAAGCAGCCCGAGGGCCTGCCGGTTTGACAACGGCCAGTCATCCCGCGGCCGCCAGACCAGGATGCACTGGCCACACAGCCTGACCGCCGGCAGGTCAAGGGGGACCGACGCCGCCCGGCCCGAGAGCGTTCTCCTCAGGAAGGGTCTCGCTCTTTCTGGTTCTCTCGTGAGCGGGCCGGCGCAGGGCA